AAGGCAACCCAGCCCCTCCCCCCCCCAAGTTTTGCTGCCCCTGTTCAGCTCCTTTTTTTGCTCAACTAGTTTTGCTGCTTTGGGGGGGGAGGGGGTGCATGAGGGTTTTTCAAAAATCAAAAAGGGGGCGTGATGCTGAAAAGTTTGGGAACCGCTGGTCTGGAGAGACAGACCCGCCCCAAAGAGCTTCCCCACTGAGGAATGTCGTGCAGCTATTCCTGGAGCTTTTCCCATCCAGCTTCCCTGAACAGGCCAGATACGGTCACTCCCCATTTTGTCAGGGGACTGCACCTCCCCACTCCAGGGCACATCTCCACCGCAAGGAAAACCCACAACCCCACCTCTCGGAGCCCGGCTCACGGGGCTAAAAACTCCTGTCGACCTCCAGGCTGGAACCCGGGCGCTGAAACTCCCCGACCCTGGGATCAAGCCTGCAGCCTGAAGTTGACATTGCAAGTTTAGAGCCCCGGAAGCCTGAGACAGCTAACTTGGGCCAACCATGGGCCTCTTCTTGCGGTGCAGACACCGCTGCAAAGATCAGCTCAGGAAATTCTCCCCCCACAAGAGGGGGAGAGCACTCGGTGGCTGCTAAGATTGCAGGAAAGCGTGCGCCCTTCCTGTTCCGTACAGAGCAACTCCTGGGTATTGCCAGACAAAGTCCTGCTCATGCATAATGGAACACACGGCCTGGATGCACAGTGGCACATTGTCGGTGCGGCAGCAATTCAAAGCGCGGGGGCTTTATGGACACTCCAGGGACAAGGGCTTTTGTGGTTATCGCGGCGCCGCCGCCTGGCATTTCTCACCCCCTTTCAAACAGAAGATCCCAAAAGCACGTTGTGAACATTGGCAAATGAAACTTCGCCACTCCCGCGTGAGACTGCGGGGAGGCCGACAGGCGGAACCAAACCTGGGACCTCTGGAGCTTAGTGCGTGAGCCTCTACCGCAGGACCTAAAACCCAGCTGGCTCGCCACACACGCATTCGCGCTGTAAGTGCTCTTGGTGCCAGTAGGTAGGACAGTTTACTACGCCCAGCAGGTGCGAAGGTTAAAAGAGGCACTTGTACACCCAGGGAAACTGAGACACAGAAAGGCAAAGCGTGTTGCCCAGTGTCACACAAACAGAGCAGAGAGACGAGAAGCCAGATCCTAGGTTTTAAAAACACAAGGTCACTATCCCTTCTGGAAGGGGGTGGAGGTAAGATGCACACCCCATTACTGGTTTGACTGGTCCAACACACCAGTCTATAAAAAAAACACACCAAAACAATCCTCAGCCATTAAAACTGGATCGACTTTTAAAAATAAACCTTCTTACCCAGCTGCCCGTATTCAGGGCACCCAAAGGAATAGAGGTTTCCTTTGCAGTCCATTATCATGCTGAATTCTGCCCCACAGGCCATTTTGGTAATAGGCTGGCCATTGTACATGATCTACAAAGGAAAGAGACGACGCATGAGAGCAGGAGACGGACTCGAGTGCCCCTGCCAGGGAGCACGGCCCAGCGCAGAGCAGATAGAGAGCTACGTTTGCAAAGGGCACACGGAGCAAACACCAGGCCCAACTTAGGCAAACGAGGGATTTGCATGGACGGTTAAGCCGTTCGTTTGCATACACCTGGTGGCTGTGTTCAGCGTGCACCAATTTACATGCAAAACTGTGCGAGCCTACCCGAAAGCACTGGGTCTGCCGTTTGACTAACTGCCCTGCCACTGAGAAATGGTCAATTCACTAACCCACATGAATCAGAAGAGAGAAGGGGAACGTAGGAGCGGAGGGGGCGGGCTTCAGGGGATATCCTACACGGACTCTGATCAAGCCAGCATGTTAAAGCCAGAAGGGCAGCCAGCTGGTGGGTGGGGCTAGCCGTCTGCGTGTAATCCTGCCTGAGCTGCTAGGTCCGATGGCTGGGCTAACCTCTCCCGCAGTTTGCGCCATAGAAGCTATGGTTCTACTGTAGTCCCATCTGAGCTGGCGGGGTTCCACCTCAGATCCCGGGCAGACGTACTTTAAACACTTCTCACGAGCGCTCCTTGGGCCAACTTCCATTCTGCTTGCAGCAGGGACGTTTCTAAGCATCCCTCGTGCATCTGGGCAATATTTTGTAACCCTACGGCTCTTGCATCTTCAGCCAAACCCATAAGAGAATAGGCCCCCGGCAGGGATTATAAGGTAGCAGCAGGTTCGGTTTATTCTCCAAGCGGAGGAGTGAAGGTTCTCAGCCTGGATTCATTTTGTTTTTCAAAGACAGAATGAGAATGGCTAAGACACAAGTGATCTGGCCATTGTTTTGGCTGTCGTAGGAACACTGGAGGTCCATCTACCCCAGTAGCCTGTCTTCCAACAGTGGCCAGGTGCCCCAGAGAGGGTGGACCAAAGACAATGATCAAGCGATTGTCTTGTGCCATCCATCTCCAGCCTCTGACAAACAGAGGCCAGGGACACCATTTCTATCCCCTGGCTAATAGCCTTTTATGGACCTAACCTCCAGGAAATTATCTAGCTTCTCTTTAAACTCTGTTATAGTCCTAGCCTTTGCAGTCTCCTCTGGCAAGGAGTTCCACAGGTTGACTACACGCTGTGTGAAGAAGAACTTTCTTTTATTAGTTTTAACTTGCTACCCATTAACTTCATTTGGTGTCCTCTAGTTTTTCTATTATAGAAACTAATAAATAACTTTTCTTTATCCGCCCTCTCCACACCACTCATGATTTTATAGACCTCTATCCTATCCCCCCTCAGTCTCCTCTTTTCTAAACTGAAAAGTCCCAGTCATTTTAACCTCTCTTCATATGGGACCCGTTCCAAACCCCTAATCATTTTAGTTGCCTGTAAAGTTCTTGATTTCCACCCACACTCCAGACTTGTGCAGGTTCAAAAACTTGCATGGGATGCTTTCGGTCCCTGGCCACCCCAGAGGCCAATCTGTTAGTGTGGGTATTTAAACAGAGAAGGGGAAGGAACACCATTTTAAAACCATGCTGAACAGTTCTAGGAGGCTCCAGAGAAGGAGCACATCAGCCTCTTTTGGTATTATAGTTCACATTTGGCCACGCAAGGAGCTGGAATCTGAAGTCTGGCTTGAAAACGGTTTGGACCATCCCATGGTTTACTAGCTACGTTAGGCACAGCTCATCTGACAGCACATTTACTCAGACAACACTATAATCATAAGTTTGGATAGGGCTTTTCCATTGGCCCGGCAAACAGCACCACACGTATTTTGTCGATTATATTTCCAAAATCCATGAAGAACAAAACCAGAAGAAAAAATACGGCGGAATTTTTGCTCTCAGCACGATTCCGTGTCCCCTGCCCCCCATTAGTGGGACTGAGCCCAAGCAATTTGGTGTGAAGGATCAACATGGCCCCCAAAATGGACATTCGGGTGGTGGCCAGGATGCGAGAAATGAAGGAATCCGCTACCTGACCGAGAGAAAGCCCAAAGAAGAGCATTAGCGGTACCTGAGTAGGACTTGGAACTGCATCCGTCTGATTGCCAAGACCCAGCTGTCCCATCTTGTTCTCTCCAAATGCAAATACAGAGCCAGTCTCTGGAACAAGAGGGGGAAAGGCAGGAAGGGAGAAATTTAAACCTCCACGTGAATGCAGAGTTAACACAGAATGGAGCTGACCACTCCAAAGCATCGTGCTAAATGACAGCACACTGTCCCATGTCGCATAAGCTTAAACCAGTCGTCACCAATCACGTGATCGACTGGTTGATCCTGGGGAGCCTCCCAGCTGATCGCGATCGGCACTCCCCCTGCGTGGAGTGCAGTCCCACGTGTGTGGAGGGGGTAGGAATCTTGGTCTGCTCCTGCCTACAAGCACCACCTGCTGCAGCTCCCATTGGCCAGGAATGGAACTCTGTGGCCAATGGGAGCTGGTGGGGTGGTTCTGGTGGAGCGGGGGCTTACAGGCCCTCCACCAATGGGAGCTGAAGAGCCCTGCGTGGCTACAACTGTCTAACAGGCATGGGTATCCGCAGATCTGCAGGAGGCTGAGAGAAACACAGAACCGCCACTCAGTGGTCCCGCTAAGTTTTGCCATCCGTGAGCGGAGGGAGTTGTGTCTTGGGCACCAATACTGACATCACGTGCGCTTGTTCGGACGGGCGCCACCCACCAGCTACTAACAAAATTATAATTTAAACGGTTATGTAAGAGGAAAAAAAACAAACCACACACCCCTAAACGAGGTGCATCACTCAGCACCCACCCACCCTGAAAATCACCCAGGCTCACTCCCACCCAGCCTTGCTCCCACCGTTGCTGCATCCACGGGCTCCACAACCCTGACACCCCCATCCGCTGCACCCTTCACGCACCCTGCATTGTGCCCCCTCTGCCCCCAACTGCAGCACAGTGACCCCTCCATCCCATCCCCTGCACTTTCCTCCCACCTGTGCCCCCAACCCTCACTTCCAGCATGTTCTGCCACACTGCTCCCTGCCCAGCAACACCTCCCCCTCTGGCTATTGCACCCTGGGCAGGGCCCCAGTTTGCCCGGCCCTGCATTAGCTTTTCTTTGTGCAGGAGGTTGCAACAAAGTTGTTTCCACTGAAAACAGCAGCAAACCGCACAACGGAGCAAGGCACAGATGTCAAGCAGCCGGCCTTTAGAGCTGCCATTGGTGGGGCTTGCTGGGTAATTCTCTCCCCGCCCAGCAAAGAAAGAGGAGGAAGGGGCTGAGCCATTGTGTTGGTAGGAGCAGTAACTGTTTACGACAGACTGGGCGTTTTAGAGCTAGTTTAAAAATCCTACCCCTGCCAATGCTGGACTGGATGAACGCGGCATGCCTGTTGAACGGGTGCTACTGCCAGTCAACGAGAAGCTTTAAAGCAGCGGTCACCAACCAGGAGAGCGGGATCCACTGGTAGACGACAGAGCCTCTGACGAGTGATCCTGATTGGTTTGGCCAAGAGGCTGTCAAGTGCCCCTCCTCCCACTGCTGCTCATCTCCTTTCAGCTACCCCTCCCCCCTCCCCGGGGAGACTCCTGCTTGCTGTGCCGGGCAGGGAAGGGAGAAGAGGGGCGCTGATGTCAAGGGGCCCCCTCCCGCTCTGTATCCTAGCTCCACAAAACAGAGGGGGCACAACAGGACTTGGGAGGGAGTTTGCTGGCTGCTTTAGGGAGTGGTCCATGGCCAGGGCAGGGGTGAGCCTGCCATAGCCCCACTGCACCACCAGCCAGGAGCCGCCTGAGCTAAGCAGTCCCCAGCTGGAGCCCACATTCTGAAACCCTACCCCAGTCATGAACCACCTCCTGCACCCCAGAGCCTGCCCCTAGAACCCCCTCCTGCCTGCCCCACCCCTGCTCCAGATCCCTGAATCCAAGACCAGAGCCTGCCCCAACCCTCTGCCCCAGCCTGGTGTAAGTGAGGGAGGATGGAGTGAGCAGGGGCGGGGCCTCAGAAGGGGCAGGAGGGAGGCGGGGCCTGGGGATTTATATTTAAAGTAGATTTTGGGTTGCACTTCAATTCAAAGTGCTCTCGTGCTGGAAAGCCCTGCCTTAAAGGCGTTGCTACGGGCCACGCTTCACCCTTACTGTAAGGAGGGCTTTTATATCTTCAGCACCTCCAGCGGGACAAAAGCACAGAAGGGATCCACTGGATCCCGACTGTTGTACACGGCCACCTGCCATTTGGCTGCGGACCCCGAGGCTGCCGCCGCCGCCTGCGACTCGGCTCTGGCCTCCCTC